TGACGACTGGAGAGAGGGAATATGGGAGAAAACAGGATCAAGTCGAGGGTTGGTCGAAGTGAACAGGACGACCACTTCTTTAACATTTTTTTAGCTATGTGGGGGAAAAGAGGAAGATAAAGAAAAGCCAGGACTGAGCTCAGGGAGGATGAGATAATGATCACTGACAACACAGGTAAGACAGAGCTGTTAGTTTTTATTTTGTTTTTGTTTTCTTTACAAGGAGAATGACTCTCACGCTGGAAATGATGAAACAAAAATGACTTACAATGAACTCACACCCAAGATAGATATAGAGATAATAATAAGAGAGCACCTAACTGACCTTAATGAATTCAAGTTACCTGGCCCAGATAAGCAAAGTGCAAATATTGTCTAATCATCGTGAAAGCAAAAATAATACAATTGGCATATTATAGATGAGGAAGCTTGGCCTCAATTTCTTGCAAAATTCCTTTTTTTAAAAAATATTATTTATTTATTTTTAACATTATTTTCTCTTTGAATTTTGAGTTGTAAATTCTCTGCCTCTATCCCACTGGCTCCCATACCCACTGAGAAGGCAAGCAATGTGATACCAATTATGCATGTGAAATAGCCATATTTTTTTAAGAAAAACAAGAAAAATAAAAGAAGTTAGAAAATTATACTTTATTTTGTACTCAGTTCATCAGTTCTCTCTCTGGAAATGGATAGCATTTTTCCATCATGAATACTTTAGAACTGTCTTGGATCATTGTATTGATCAGAGTAGTCAAGTCTTTCACAATTGATCATCATTACAACATTGCTCTTACTGTGCACAATGATCACTCAGTTCTTTTTGCTTCACTTTGTATCAGTCCATATATGTCTTGCCATGTTTTTCTAAAACTACCTCCTCATCATTTCTTAGAGCACAATAGTACACCATTACAATCATATGCCACAATTTGTTCAACTATTCCCCAATTGATGAGCATCCCCTCAATTTCCTATTCTTTGCTACTACAAAAAGTACTGCTATAAATATTTTTGTACATGTAGGTTCCTTTTCTTTTTCTTTGATCTCTTAGGAGTACAGACCTAATAGTGGCATTTCCTGCATAATTTCTAGAATGGAGCATTCCTACTAAAATCCCAGCTTCTACAGGAAACAGTTTCCAGTCTCTCAATTCTACTGCCTTCCCTCTATTATTTCCTATTTATCCTGTATGTAGCTTGTATAAATATATATGTATACACACCTGTGTGTGTGTGTGTGTGTGTGTATTTGTTAGTTTATCATCCTCCTCCCCAATTAGATTGTGAGTTCCTTAAGGGCTGAGGCTTGTTTTTGTCTGTTTTTGTGTCCTCAGAGCTTAGCACACTGTCTGGCACATAGTAGGCACTTAATAAATGTTTATTGATTGATAAACATCTAGAAAAGAAAATAGTGATTATAAGGAAACCAAATCACTTCATCAAGAAAAGTTCATGCCAAATTAATTTTATTTGTTTTGTTGACAAGTTTACTAAACTAGTAGTGGAGGGAAATGTTATAGTCTGCTGAGTTTTAAAACTAAACATTTAATAAAATATTTCATACTATTCATGTAAAAAAGGTGGAGAAATATAGACTAGATGATAATACAATTAGATGGATTCCAAACTGGTTGATTGACAGGGCATAAAAACTTCATTAATGGCTCCCTGTCACCTTCTCAGGAGGGCTGTAGTAGAGTGCTGCAGGAATCTGTTCTTTGCCCAGTGTTGTTTAACATTTTTAAACATTTCATTGTATTGGACTGGACAAAGACATAGATAGCATGCATATTGAATCTGCAGGAATAGCTAACGTGTCAGATGACCAAGGTAAGATCCAAAAAGATCTTTGGAAGCTAGAATATTGGGTCAAATGTAACTAGGTAAAAATCAGCAGAGATAAATGTAAAGTCTTACATTTGAGTTCAAAAAATTAACTTTAGAATTATAAGATGCTACAGCAGTTTGAAAAATACTTGAGTTTAGTAAATTCCAATTTCAACATGAATCAGCAATATAAAGAAGCATTAAAAAATAATTTGATCTTGGGCTATATTAATGAATAAGGAGATAAAGGTCTTTCTGTACCCTTCTCTGGTCAAATCACATCTGGAATTGTGTTCAAATCTGGGTGCCACAGAACGACATTGATAAACTGGACATTCTAGAGAAAGGTAAACAACATAGTGAAGAGTCTTGAGACCATATCACATGATACGGGTATGTTTATCTTAGAGAAGGTCAAGACAGGCAATAGGGGAGAAGTGGACATGGTAATTGTTTTCAGTTATTTGAAGGCTGTCACATGGAAGAGAGATTAGACTTATTCTGCTTGATCATCCTAGACAGAACCAGAAGCAGTGGGTGAAAGTTGTAAAGAGGCAAATTTAGACTTGAGTTAAAGAGCAACTTTCTAACAATTATAGCTGTCCAAAAATGGAATGGAATATCTTGGGAGAGAGTTGGCTCCTCCTTATTAGAGGTCTTCAAGCCCAGGCTGAATGACCATTTGTCCAGTGTGTTGTAGTGTGGATACCTTGCAGGCATGCGTTGGACTAGAAGATCAATGTTGTCCCTTCCAGCTTTAAAATTATTTGAGTCTATTATGAACTAAAATTTTAGAGCTGAAAAATGAACATTTTTCAAACTGCAAACCAGCTTCTAAACTAACCTTTAACTTTTAAAAATAGTACATATTGAGGAATGACTGAACACATTATGGCATATTACATAGTGGAATACTGGTGGTGGTTGTCCTTTGTTCTCGAAGAGGACCAAAATAACATCGCAATGTTAGAGTCAAATTACAGTGTGTCTGACGTGGCTGATCAGAACAACATGAGCTTGGAATGTTCTACCACAGCTCGGGGCACAAATAGTCCATGTGAACATTTGGGATGGATTCTCTAAATTTGCACATCTCACATTTCTTTTGAGCTACTTCAGTTCTGCTTTGCTCATAGAACACAGCACCTTCTCTGATGAGGGCATGTCATGCTGGGCAGTCCTATGCCAGTGTCTCTCGTGTCACATAATTCAAAAATTCTTCAAAAAGAAGAAGAGTATACTATGTTATAAGAAATGATGAAAGAGCCAGATTCAGAGTAACCTAGGAAGACTTGTAGAAACTAATGCAGAGTGAAATAAGCAGAACCAGGAGAACAATGTGTATTCTAAAAGCAGCATCCAAAAGACAACCCTTTAAAGATTTAAGAACTCTGATTAATGCAATGACCAACATAACTCCAGAGGACCAATGGTGCATGCTACACACACTCTAAGAAAGAGGCAATGGACTCCAGATGCAGACTGAAGTATCTTTTTTAATATGGCCTATGCAGGATTTGTCTTACTTAATTATGCATATTTGTTACAAGAGTTTTTTTTTTTAAATGTTTTCAAAGTGGGGGGGTGGAGGAGGTGGAAAGGAAAGGAAACAAACTCTTATTATTTGAAAAAATACAGAAAAAATCTTAAAGCTCATGTTTAAGTTTAATGCTTCCAATAAAAAAACCATAGACCAAAGACTTTATTTCTGGTATTAGGTATTATTAAAAAACTATAAGACTGAAGCAGTTCTAGCAATTTTTTTCTGTCTTCTGAGCCAATAGATTTGACCTTATAGTATAAGCTAAATTAGGAATGACCTGAGGTTTCTACATAAACTTGATATGGTTATTGTTTCTATATAAATTTGAATTCAGTTGAGTGATATCATTACCCATTGAAGTAATAGAATTTGACACAGTTTTAGAAGCATTATTATGCATTTCAGGAGGGGGCGATTTTGTTTATGGTTTAGCACTCTTTCGATATGTGGTCATATGCATGATTTGGATGCCCAAAAGGCAGCTAACACCCTCAGGTTCTGGGGTAACCTATATGTCTGCAGTACTAAAACTAGTTCATAGGTAGGGTGTGCTAGTAAATGTTTAATAACTGACTCCAAAAAAATGTACACATGAAGTCCTTTAAAATTTAATTTGCAATATGAACTTTTTCCTCATCACAGTGTTGAGACTAGACAATCAACAAAACAATAAATCAAGTCCTGATTTGTACCGTTTTCTGATTTTTGAGGTGTGAATACTCATACTGAAATTTTAACAATTCTGAGCTATTTTGAACTGACTGCAGCACACCCTTGTTCACAAGCCTCCACCTATATCCTTAGCTTTAATAGTTAGTCAGTAGACACAAGTAGCTCAAAGCCAAGCCATTGACTAAAATGGTATAGTAAGAAAAGTAAAACATTTCCTTCCAGAAACCTGGGGCCCAGTGTTCCACAAATACATCAACATCTTTAAGAAGAGTAGGCACACATTTGGAGTATAATGGTAATGAAATACAAATGTAGGGAACATAGGGGCCAAAACAACTGACATCTCAAGAACTGAAAGACCTTAATGTCCTTTATCTCATCATGGAGTTCTTCAGCAGGCTCCCTCTGGGTACAGTGTCTCTGCTGGTGGGTTACTTAGCTGGCTTCCCATTATCTACCCCTCTTCATAGTTCATTCTTTATTGCTAAAGCTAACTCTCTCTTAAATGTATAACCAGTTCTCTTTGCTGTCAGAGGTCCCTCTCCTGAAAGCTGTTTGAATACTGCCTTTCTGTTTCTGTGTCTGTCTGGAGAATGTGTATTTCCTACTGGTCAATTATCCTCTTAGAGTCTGAATTCTTTCTCAGTTGCTGGTTCCTGCCTGAATTGTGTCCAGGATTGTGACCAGTTTTCATGCAGCCAATCCTAAACTTGCTTACTAATTTCACTAGAGAAAATGTTCACAGTTTATAAAGACATTATAAGGATTACTATTAATGAATTTATACTTCATCATCTGTGATTATATCCTATGGGGGAAATTCATTGGTCAGGAACCCATTTCTGCTCTTACAATGAAAATACTAATATTTAAATAAGAAAAACTTTAGTTCTGTTATTTAATAGCTATTGGACCGTAACCAAATCATTTAATCTCTCTTATAATGAGGGTGTTGAACTAGTTTATCTCTAAGGTCCCACTTCAAAATCTTATGTTTCTTTATCTAAAGGAAAACAAATTGACTTTAAACAGAAGATATCAAATAATTCTGTTGTGTCAATTCAATTCATTCCAACCAACATTTATTAAATGCCTGCTAAGTACAAAGCCTAATGCTTCAGGACTGGGGATATAGAGATAAATTACAATTCCTGCCCTCAAAGATGAGGGAAGCACGCGTATGCAGATAAGTGTGATACATGGGAAAAGAGTAATAGGGACAAGGGAAGATCTAAGCAAACCACTTTTGAAAAATCTGAGGAGGAAGAGAAACACTTTCAGTAGTGTCCAACCCCACTATTCCACAGCCAACGACTATGAATCTCTCTTCACTTTCTCCAGGCCTCAAGGTGAATGTGGAAGGTTCTGGGGTTTAGTAATTAACAAATTGTTTGGGTGTGAATACAAGCGAGATACAAATATAATTGAGACAGGGCTTTTAAAATGCAATCATAACTAAACAAATAGGAGCATATCTACCAAAAAACCATTATCAGTGTATGGAGTTTGTGGGACTCATTTACTGAAACTGAGGACTGAAGGTACCTGGAAATTCTACTAATGCAATTCTTAAGTGACCATGCATCAGTTTCCTAATTATGTAGTTTTATAAAAATAAACCTAACTAAAAATACCAGGCCAGGATTTAGGAAAGAGAGAACCTCTATTTAGCCAAGTACTTCTTTAACAAATTAAAACATTTTCTTTCTGATAAATATTTGCATGTTCCTAATGGGTAAACCCTCTCCTACCATAATAAGTAGTATTGCAATATTGCTTTAATAGAGTATATAATTTATTTTAGTGAAAATTTTTGTGTAATGGTTGCTCAGAATAAAAAGTCTTCTTTTTTCTTCAGTGCTAGGTACATAGTATTTGCTCAATAAATATTTGTTGATTAATATCAAATCAAGACAAAAGATAGGCAGTATGGTATATTTGAAAGAGAATTGAATCGGACTGTGTGTCAGGAGAGAGCTGCGTTCAAATCCTATCTCTGATACCTACTACCTGCATGACCATGGATAAGTCACTGAACTTACTCTCTGCAATCTTAGTTTCCTCATCTGTAAAATAGGGATAATAATAGTACCTACTTCTCAGAGTAGTTATGAAGATCCTTCCAGATTTCCTTCCTTCCAGAAGGAAGATTTCCTTCCAGAAACCTGGGGCCCAGTGTTCCACAAATACATCAACATCTTTAAGAAGAGTAGGCACACATTTGGAGTATAATGGTAATGAAATGAGAGAATGTACATAAGTGCTTAACAAATTTTAGAGTACTGTCTAAATGTCAGCTATTAGCATTACTACTATTTTTTAATTAGACTTATAATCTTATTGATTTGGGAACCCCCTGCACCAGTGCAGTTAGCAATTCACCCATGAACTATAGTCTTAAAGAGTTTCCCCTGGCATTAAAACTTAAGTGTCTTGCTCATTGTTCCTTAACCATTATGTGTCAGAAGTAGACTTTACAAGCCTTTTTGACTCCAAGGCTGACCCTCTGTACACTATACCATGCCGCCTCTAATTGTTATTATGATTTAAATGAAATGAATTGAAAGGCATTGAATGTACCATCCCAAGAACAAAAATCAAATAAAACTGTACCATATAAAGAAAAAAATTTCCAGGCTTATGGTCCTATAAGATCCCACTCAGTTTGTCTATTCCCAAATATCAAAGTAGCATCACTCTAGGCCAGTCCATTAGATTAGTTCCTAAGCACATTGTCCTCTGGCTCTTCAGGAGAACCCACAGAGGGAATGAATAGCCCATGTAGATCCAGGTGTATCTCTGCATCAATTGATGCTCGAGCCAATTCTGTAAATAGTTTTGCATCCAGTATGAGTAGAAAAGGTGGTTTCTTGGGGTCAGTGGAGACAATCACTGACAATATAATACCTTTAAGAGAAAAAAATGAACAAGTTTGGAAAATGGAGGGGTATTTTTTTCTATTTCTGAAATGAAAAGAATCTTCATTGATGCTGAAAATCTAAGCCTGAGAAAAACAATGTAGTTTGGGTAACCAAGACTTAAATCCAAAGAAGAAAGCTTGTAGGCAAAACTTGGGTTTTTCCTATTCTGATTTTCAACATTCAAAGCAGAAGAATAACCTTTAGCTTAGCCATCTTGGAGGCTGCCTCTTTAATATGAGGCAGGGACATAACAATATTATCTAGTGTAACTTTGGAATACTTTTGGGAGGTCTGATTGTGATTGGCTCAGAATAGCTGCAAATGTGATTTTCCTTGAGCCAGTGTTGAAACTCCTATTGCTACTAGCATATATGCTTCTTCATTGTCTGCCCATTAGGAGAAAAACACAAAGTATCTAAGGCGTTCCACACAAATGGTTGGAGAAGCAAGCCCAAGGATAGAGGTCTATGCTTCAGGCCCAATGCCCAAGACAGAGCTCCCTAGAGGATGTTTCCTAGCTTCTGTTTTGGAAGTATGTTTAACTGGGTAGAAGGAAGTTTGTGATGTGGTTTTACTTTTGTAAATGAGGAGGTATTAGCATTGTATACTGGACTTGGAGTCAAGAAGACCTAGGTTCAAATCCTACCTCTGACCCTTACTAGTGTATCATAGGAAAGTCCTTAATTACTGTGTGCCTCAGTTTCCTCATCTGTTACATAGGAATGATAATATCTGTAGTGACTACCTCATAAGATTGTTGTAAGGCTCAAATGAGATTAAAATAAGGAATGTTAATATACAAATGTCAACTATTAATATTAATGCTGAAGTAAAGTTGAATCTAAGAAATAAGAATTAGGGGTGGTATGCTGTGTAGGTCTATGGACCAACCTGATGGATTAGGAAGATGAGCCACTGGAGCTGTTGTGTGTCACAATTTGCTGATTCCCTTCTTAGTGAAATAGATTTCACTTTTTGAATCTTCATGTCACTTGTTTATGTTTTCTCCTTGCCAGTGTCATGTGGTGGAAAGAACATTGGATTTCAATTTAGAGGACCTGAATTTGAATCCTGTCTCTGCATCTTCCTAACTGTGATTTGGAGCAAATATTTCTGGTCCTCAGTTTTTTTTTTTTTTTTGGTTTATTTGTTTTTGTGAAATGAGGGGGTTGGACTGGTTGACCTCCAGCTGGTAGGAAGGTCAGTGACTAGACTGTTCAGATAAATATATTGGCATGTTAGAGAAATAGCATAGAGGCCAAGAATCGAAGCCTGAATCTTCAGTGATGACAACTTCAGTTTCTTTCTGCACCTCCATGAGGATTTTATAATGCTTTCCTCATTGTGTGTGCTATCTAGTAGGAGCATTCTTATCCCTATTTTGCATGGAGGAAATTGAGACCCAGAGCAATGAAGTTACTTGGCCAAAGTGAAATAGCCAGTAAGTCTGTAAGTTGTGGCTCAGCTTTATATCCTGTAACCCTGAGACCAATGCTTTTGCCACTATTATGTTGCTATATGAACTGCATGAGAAGGTTCTGGGTAGCAAAAGGATTAGGGTAGATATCTAATGGGGTGCCCTACCATTTCTTCTTATCTTGACTGAAACTGGATGACTTCATCAAAAGGTGGAAGAAGTTCTGTGAGATACTTCCTGCTATAAATCTGGGGTACAGAATACGATTTTCTGGAATATCTGCTTCTCTTAGGTCTTTTTAGTAGCATGCATATGTCAATGAATCTGACCATTGTTAACAGAGCTTTCTTTTGTAAAGCTGAAAGAACCCTTAGAGACCAATCATGAATGAGGAAACTAGGACCCACTGAAGTTAAATGACTTACTAAAGGATACACAGTCACAGAACTGGACCAGAACCCAGATCTCCTAACTTCTAGCCCTCTGATGTTTCAATATTACCAAAATATTTGAAAACATTTTAAAGTTCCTTTCTTCCTTTCTATAAATCCCCTATATCTTTTTTGTAGGGTGGGAGGAGTAGCATCTCCACTGAAATTTGGGACTGAGGCAGCTCCTGCAGCCATGAGAATTGGCCTCCAACTACAACTGCCTCCAGCCCTTAATATTATACATCTTTAAGGAGTGTGGAAGAAAGTGATGAAGTAGGACCATAGGGTCAAATGAGCCACAGTAGAAAGGTAGAGACAGATCATGGAAAAAATGATTCCATATTCACATAATGAGAAGTTGAAGACCTTACTCTCCCCGCTTCCTACCCCCACTCCAACATCACCCTACCACTACACATATACATCCATAAGGGACTTCATCCCTATGAATGGTCATGATCTTTTCAACCTGGATCCACTTATGGTTACATAGACAGTAAATGTCACAACTGGGCCTTAAACTCAGGCTTCTGGACTCTTAAGTCCAGAGGTGGGGTCTTTGAACTTATTCATCTATCATCTATCTGTCTGTCTTATCTATCACTGTATTTCAGTATAATATACCTCCTTTGCAATTCTACATATTTCTTTTATTCATTTAGAAACTATTCCAAGAAATGGTCCATAGGCCCCTCTAGACTGTCATAGGGGTTCATGAAGCAAAAAAAGTTAATGACCCCTGCATTTCACCATGCTGCCTTTCATGGATTCCCTCCATCTGCCTGCATGCTGTGTATACCCCTGACATATCTGTATACGTGTTTTTTCTCCCTCCTCTTCCTAAAATGTAAGTTTCTCAAGGCCAGCGACAGTGTTAATTTTTAATTTCTGTATTTATCCCCAGTGCCAAAAACCTTACACATAGCTAAGTAAAAGCTTAGAGATAGGGACAGGACCTGTGATTAAATTGGTTTAGGAAGCTCCTAGATGAGGATTCTCCCTCTACCAATATAGGTTGGCACCTTCTCTGCCATTTACAATCTTACTGAATTGCCTAGAGAGTGAGAGCTGAAGTGATTTGCCTGGGGTCACACGACTAGTCTGTCAGAGGCGGAACTTGAAACCAGGTCTTCCTGATTTAGAGACCAGCTCTCTATCCACTAGGATGCACTGCCTCTTAGTAAGTCAATGCTGGATTGAGTTGAATAGGTTTGACAGGGAAACAATCACATCTTCTGACCCTGCCAAATCAGTTGCTTTGGAAGCTGATTCCATTGCTTACTATGAAAACAGAGCAGAGTATTCATTAGGCCAAAAGCTCTTACCATCATCTTCTTGTTGTGCATTAGGTGCAGGCACAAACACAGGTTCAGCAGGCCAACAGTGCTCCTCCCCCCATTTTAATGATGACTTTGTCAGAATATCAAATTTCGTTATCTGTGTATTTAAAAGGAAGACAAATAGTGACTAAATTTTTGTGATATTGTATTTTCTATTTCTGAGTACAATGCATGCAATCAAACTTTCTAACTAACACATTGAAACCTAGGTATGTGGAGAGGATGATAGGATACGAGCAACTCTCACCGTTAAAAGTAAACGTTTATGGAAGGTTTGAGCATCTGTATAATATTGACAGGAGAGCCACAGGTCTAGCTTCTATTCCTTATGAGCTTTACAGTAGAAATCTGTCTCATGAGGAAAATAAAATCCTAAAGCCTGAAAAGGTTTTACTTGCTTCTCCAAATAAAATTTGAGGTTAGCTTTTTCAGAATCTATGTTAATTTACAGTTATGTCCATAGAGAAGGTAGGCCAGGAAACCAATTAGATTAGCCCCCACACCTGGCAGGTGGGAGCTGATGCACAGTCCTCCATCATCATTGACAAGCTGACACATGAACACTGTTGGCTTTGATGGACCCAGGTGTTCCTCCATTCAGTTATGGCTCAGTATTTATTTCAGCTACCAGGCTTTATAATTAGGTTGCTGTTCATTCATTTTTCATCATCCCTCATTCCATGACACCAAGAAAAAGCCATTTTGTCTTATGTTGCAGATTTTCCTATTCCACTGACATATTAATTCTAGAAGATTGTTTTTCTCTATATATGTTTATAATTCCTTTGCATGAATTCAGAAGAGTATTCTCTCCTTCATTTAATGTCTTCTTCACCTTACCATATCTGTCTTTATTATGATCTTCTCAAGCTTCTCCTGAGTGTCATAGAAAAAGGTATTACTTTTCTTTGAATTGAGTTGCTCCATGGTACCAAGAACCAGTTAATTTTGCAGCTGAGGCAAGAATATGAAATTATGTCACCTATCCTAAAAGTATGGCATACTTGGGAGAGTAGATGCATATTCCATATGTTTTCTTCTCCTGTCAACTTTGTGTAGCTAAAGCAAATGCTTCTCTTGCCTCTCCCTGGTTATGGCTCTGCCAAGAACCTATACCTTCTTGACTCAGAATCACTCAGAATCAGAATCTCAGAGTTGAAAGTAACCTCAGAGGTCATCTACTCTGTTTTATACCTGAATAAGAATCCACTCATCAACATACTGATCTGTTTTGAAGACTTCATGTCCCAGTTCCAAGTGGCCTTGCTTCCTCTTTCATCTTCCATATTTCATTGACTCCTTCCCCTCTGCTTTGTAATATCCCTAGTTCTCTTCGATTTTGAAAAACTCATTATTTTTCTGTACTCTTTAGCTTGCACATAAGACAGACTCAGGGACAGCTTAATAGCTCTCTAAAAGTGTTTTAAGGGTGGTTGTGGAAGAGAGATTAAACTTGTTCTTCTTGGTTTCACTGGTAGAATTAAAGACAATGGGTACAGGCTTCAGAGAGACAGATTTAGGCTTGATATTGGTTGAGGGGGGAGTGATGGAATAAAACCCTTCCTAACAATTAGAAGTATTCAAAAGAATGGGCTGGTTCACAAGTTAGTAGGATATCTTTCAGTGGAGATATTCAGTCAGTTAAATAATCCCTTGAAGGAAATTATGTAGAGATTTTTGATCACATACAGGTTGGATTAGATGAGGTTCCTTCCAACTCTAAGCTTTTTTCACTTTCTGCTGACCACTCTAGATACTGACCTATTTTTCTTTTTCCTTTTGTTGCTAAGCTGTCTCCTGTGAGTGGTTTCTATGTACTGCTTTCATTTCTTCAAACAGGGATCCATTATTTTGTCATTTTGGGTCTTTCCTCCATTGATGCAGAGCAAAACTTTTCTGAGTCTTTATGAGTCCTATTGGCTAAGACATTCATCCCCTGTGACCAACTGGGTGATGAGTTTCTTCACAAAGTAGTAGCTAGGTGAGTCTTCAGTTGACAGACAATATTGTCCCTAACCAATCCAGCACACAAAACCTTTCCAGAGCTTGTACTTTACTGGTTTAGCCTTCAAAAAGCCCAGAGTCAACTCCACACTGTGAGGAAGAATTAGAGTTAAGACTTTAGTAGATGATTCCTTATTGAAAACACCCTGCAATCTAGCTTCTTTCCCTAACACTGCACTGAAAGTACTGTCTTAAAGTTCACCAATAACCTTATAATTGACAAATCAAAGGATCATAGCATCTAGTATTAGAAGTGGCCATCTAGCCTAAACTACACCCAAAAGAAATCACAGATACAACATAACCAATAGTGGTTTTCCAGCCACTGCTCAAAGACCTTCAATGAGAGGGAATCTGCCACTTTCCAAGGCAGCCCAATTCAATTTATTATCACATCAAGCCTGAATGTGCTTCTTTCTAATTTGTATTCATTGTACCTGATTTTGCCCTGTGAAGTGAAGCAGAACAAGTTTTATCCCTTTCCCACAACACCCCTTCAAATACTTAAACTCTCATGTTCCCTCCTGAGTATTCTCTTTTTCAGACTAAATACACCCAGTTTCTTTTATCCAATCCTCATATGATATCAAGTTTTGGAGTCTTGGCTCCATTTACTTATCTTGTTTCTTTCTATATTTGTCTCCCTCTCCAATCCAACCCTTCCCCAGTTAATTTTTCCTTAAAGGACTCAACGTCCTTCATTATCTTGGTTTCTCTCCTCTGGATACTCTCCAGCTTATAGATGTCCTTTAAAAGTTATGGTGCCTACTTATATGAACAAAAATATTAATATTTTGTGGTGGCAAAGACTCAAAATTGAGAAGAACTCTATGATTGTGATGGAATACCATTGTGCTATAAGAAATGATGAACAGGATAACTTTCAGAAAAACCTGGAAGGAGTTACATGAACTGATGCAAAATGAAGTGAGCAGAACAGGAGAACATTGTATACAATGACAGTAATATTGTGCAATGATCAACTGTGAATGACTTAGTTATTCTCAGCAGCACAAAGATCCAAGACAATTCTGAAGAACCTATGATGAAAAATATTATCTACCTCCAGAGAAAGAACTGATGAATGCAGATCGAAGCATACCATTTGAGTTTTTTAAACTTTCTTTCTTTTTCTTTTATTTGTCTGTATTTTCTTTCACAACATGACTAATATGGAAATATGTTTTACATGACTGCACATGTATAACCATTATCAAATTGCTTGCTTTTAGAAGGAGGGGAAAGGGGAGGGAGAAGGGAGAGAATTTGGAACTCAAAATTATATAAAAAGAAGGTTAAAATTTTTTTATGTGTAATTGGAAAACATCAAATATTAAAATTTTTTAAAAAATAAAGTTATGGTGCCTAGAACTGAATACTCTGTCTCCAGATAGAGTCTGACTAGGACAGAATACAGAGAATATCACTTTTGTGTTCCTGGAAGCCATACCTACCTTTTATGGCTACCACATCACACTACTGACTCCTTTTGAGCTTATAGTCCACTCAACCTGAAGATCTTCTTCACATAAGCTGCTAACTATTCTTCCTCAGTCCTACACTTGTGAAATTATTTTTTTAGTCCATGGTAATACTTTATATGTATCTTGATTGAAATTATTTTTTTATTCAGCCCAATGTTTTAGCCCATCAAGATCCTTTTGAATCCCAGCTCTATCATCCAACCTGTTAGTTAGCCTTCCCAGCCTTGTGTCATCTGTAAATTTGACAGCAGGCAATCTCTGTCTTTACTCAAATAGTGATAAAAAAAAAATCTTAAACAGAACAGGGTCAAGCACAGATCCCTTGGGGCACTCTCCCAGAAACCTTTTTTTTCCCTGCACTTAATAGTATTTTATTTTTTTCCAATTACATGTAAAGATAGTTTTCAACATTCACTTTTATAAGATTTTGATTATCAAATTTTTCTTCCTCCTTCCCTCCCTCCCCAAGATAGGAAACAATCTGATATAAGCTATACATGTACAATCATATTAAATATATTTCCATGTTAGTAATATTGTGAAAAAAAATCTGAACAAAAGGGAAAAACCACAGTAAAGAAATAAAAAAGTGAAAATAGTATGTTTTGATCTGCATTCAGACTCCATAGTTCTTTCTTTGGATGTGGATAGCATTTTCCATCACGAGTCTTTTAAAATTGTCTTACATCATTGTATTGCTGAGAAGAGCTAAGTCTATCATGGTTGATCATCTCACAGTGTAGCTGTTACCGTGTACAATGTTCTCCTGTTTCTGCTCACTTCACTTAGCATCAGTTCATGTAAGTAGTTTGAGATTTTTTTGAAATCCACCTGCTCATGACTTCTTTTTTTTAATTAATTAATTAATTTTTAGTTTTCAATGTTCACTTCCACAAGATTTTGAGTTCCAAATTTTCTCCACATTTTGTCTCTCCCCCACCCCAAGATGGCATGCATTCTGAATACCCCTTCCCCTAATCTGCCTTTCCTTCTATTCCCCCCCTTCTCTTATCCCCTTCCCCTTTAATTTTCCTGTAGGGTAGGATAGATTTCTATACCTCATTTCCTGTATATCTTATTTCCCAGTTGCATGTGAAAACAATTTTTTTAAAATATTTGTTTTTAAAACTCTGGGTTCCAAATTTTCTCCCTTCCTCCCTCCCCACCCATCCTTGTTAAGAAGGCAAGCAACTGGATACAGGTTATACATGTGCCATGCAAAACACTTCCATAGTAGTCATGTTGTGAAAAACTAAGTATATTTCCCTTAATCCCATCCCACCCCCCGTTTATTCTATTCTCTCTTTTGAGCCTGTCCTCCAGAAACTTTTTTAAGTTGACATTGAATCATTAAATGACTACTCTTTGTGTTAGGCCATTCAATCAGTTATGAATCCATCCAATTGTTTTATCAGCCTGTCTAAATCTCTCCATCTTTTACAAGATAGTTTTGGACCTGCAGTTTGGAAAACCTGAGTTCAAATACTATCTCAAATCCTTAATGCCTGTATGACCCTAGACAAACCACTTAACCTCTTTCAAGCTCAGTTTCTTCATCTGTAAATTGAGAATGATAATATTATCTATATCACAGGAGTGATGTGAGGACCAAATGAAACTGCATATGTAAAGCACTTTGTAAACCTTATACCACTCTATAAATGCTAGCTATCACTGTTATTATTACAAATACCTTGTAAATTATATCTACATTATGTCTCTATTCTATTAGTTTAATAATTTTGTCAAAAAAGGAAATAAGGAAGTCTAACAACCTCTTCTCAGTCCTCATGCTCTTTGAAATTTCTGTCACATTTGACACTTTCTCTTTCTTGCAACTCTATCTTAATGTGTGACACTACGATATTCTTTTTTTTTTTTTTTTTTGGTGAGGTGATTGGGGTTAAGTGACTTGCCCAGGGTCACACAGCCAGTAAGTGTCAAGTGTTTGGTCTGAGGCCGGATTTGAACTCAGGTCCTCCTGACTTCAGGGCCGGTGCTCTATACACTGTGCCACCTAGCTGCCCCTGACACTACGGTATTCTTGGGGCAGCTAGGAGGCTCAGTGGATAGAGCGCTGGGCCTGGAGTCAGGAAGACCAGAGTTCAAATGTGGCCTCAGATACTTACTAGCTATGTGACCCTGGGCAAGTCGTTTAACCCTGTTTGCCTCATTTTCCTCACCTGTAAAATGAACTTAAAAAGGACATGGTAAGCCACTCTAGTGTCTTTGCCAAGAAAACCCCAAATAGGGTAACAGAGAGTCAGACATGCACTGAAACCACTGAACAATAACAGTAACACAGTATCCTATTTCTCCTCTTGCCTTTCTGACTACTCTTCTATATCCTTCACTAGCTTCTTCTCTTCTTTAGTATCCTTTCAGTATGGACATTTCTGAAGGCTTGATATTGACCTGCTTCTCTTCCCTTTCAACACTATCTCCCATTGAGAGTTCTACCATTTTCATTTTAGCTATTGCCTGTATGCTAATAACTTGGAAATCTTTACCTTTAGGCCTGCTCTCTCTCCTAAGCTTTAGTCAAGTACTCTACCTGATATTTGGATATCCTGTCACCTCAAATTCAGCACATTCAAAACATCACCACCCTTTCTCCTTTGAACTGGCACCCTTTTCCAGCTTGCCTATTTTTGTTACTGGCACCAGCAGTCTCCATCCATTTGGGTGTGTCCCACTTAAAAGCAAATTGATTCATCATCACAGAAACTAGTGTGTGATATTTTAATGACCTTTAAATATATTACCTTTGTTGGAATTGGATTCCACTGCACTTCTGCTGCATAAATGTATCTGTATTTTTTCCCATTGTGAGCATAATTAATTCGGGGCAGCTCAATCCCTAAAAGAAGTGAAGAATTCAAATATATCGTCAAAGAGACATCAAAAGGAAGAGGACTGTTCACATTTTCATTGTCAAATTCTCCAACCTTGTCTCTGTTAATAATAATAATAGCTCACATGTATGTGGGTCTTAATGGGTCTTTTTAAAGCAAAAGGTACTTTGTATACCTAATATCAAGAGAAGCAACAGGACATTAAGTGGAAAGGCACTGGCATTGGAGTCCAAAGAACCATTCTGATTCCTGGCTCTGCTCTTTATGTGCACTGTAACCTTGGGCAGGTGATTTCTCCTTCCTGGGCCTTGATTTCCTCATTTATAAAATTATGGAATTGGGTTAGAGAGCTCTAATGTGGTGTCCAGCTCTGCAAACCTACGTTAATTTGAGCTTCACAACAATCCTGTGAAATAGAAATTATTATCCCCATTGAAGATGAAAATGAAGATCAGACTAATATTGATAGACTTAACCCTTCTCAGCAAATATAAGAATCTAAGATGTCTCCAAAGGCTTCATGATGGAAAATGCTATCCACAAAGAAGAAAGAACTATGGAGTTTGAATGCAGATCGAAGCATACTATTTGCTGTTTTTTCTCTTCTGTTGTGTTTTGTTTCCTCTTTCTGGTGGTTCCTCCTATTTGTTCTAATTCTTATCTATATCACTAATGTGAAAATATGTTTAATAGGAATAGCCTGTATCAGATTGCGTGCCATCTTGGGAAAGGAGATGAGAGGGAGGGGGAGAAAAATTTAAAACTCAAAAGCTCATGGAAGTGATTGTTAATAATTCAAAATAAATTAATTAAAAACTTAAAAAAAGAGAAAATTAAGATCAGAAAGATGGAATTGAATTTCCAAAGGTCAGTGGCAGAGCTAAGATTCAAGACCAGATCTTCTGACCCCAATCCTAGACTCCTCCTAGACTCTAGCATCCTGTAAGACTGATTTATAGCTGGCCAGGATAAACTCCAGGGAAAATGTAATTCATTTAAATATGATATCCAAAGGTAAACAAACCCCTCTCTGCTAATTGATTTGACTACTGAAAACTATTTAATAAATTAAGAAAGATATATATCTTTTAAGTGTATAAAATTATACAAGACAAATCCAATATAGTTTAATGACTATGAAATCACAATGACTATGAAATCACAACTGTCTTCTTTTAGCTCTTTAGAAAAAAAGGAAATTCAGATACTTGTGATTACACACACATATACACATTTTATGTACCTGTGTTTAAATATATTTTTATAAGTTGACAAATAAAATCAACATTAGGCATTAGAACTAAACTATAAATCATTTTATGAAATATTTTTAATAAGATGTGGAGAAATACAAGTGAAGGCAAGATGTCAGAGAAAATCAGAAAATCTTTCAGAAGAAACTTTAAAGGGTGAATAATCTTTCCACCTGCGTTTCAAAAGAGGAACTTAAGGGTGCACGAGACTATTGGGTGTAGCAGGAAAGGTTTCAGTGGGAGTGGGATATTGATCTGGGGAGGAGTTGCCTTGCTCCATAAATTAGTAATTAAGAACTCTTTCATGTACATAGCTAGATAAATACCAAGGTGAGAAGCTCCTAGGAAGAGTTTCTCAAGCCTCCTGGGGTGAGGAGATAATATCTTGGTTCTGATAGAGAGTATTTAGACTGAGATGATCTCCATGAAGCAAACCAGGAAACTTGACATGTTGTTGGGCTAGTCTCCTGCTAGGCTGCTACCTTCTTATAAGCATTGGCTACGGCACAGGTCAAAGATAATTTCCTGATTCAGAGTGTAATCAGAATCCATGGAACTCATAGTCCGTATGCCTTCAAGAACAGAAATAAGGCTCTCAGAGAAGGGACCTAGGAAATAGGAGGTTTATGGGACAGAAGAACTGAGACTCAGAGAGATGAAATGTCAGGGGACAAGAATTTAAGGGGACAGGAACACAAGGAGAGAAGGATAGGACATTAATCATGAAGTAGGCCTGAGACCACAAAAAAAAAAAAAATGGAGTAAAATCAGTTCATTTTTCTAAGGAATACCAAAACCGGGTCTGACAGAAACTGTCCCAGGTATTGCTATACTTTACCCAAAGAGAGTTTGTTTTTATTGGCAAATTCAAATGTTTTGCCAAGTATGAGGTCATTAGTGACAGCATCTTATTTTCAGTGACTTCCTGTCTTCCTGGGGAGTGGCCCTGCACCTGCCCACAGATCTGGGTGTCTGGTGCTCCCTAGTCACAGAAACTGATAGTGGCTTCGTTAATCATGCAGCTAAAGACTTAAGAACTCCAGGCCTCAAATATAATTTCACATTATTTCTGGTCTACATTCCAACCAAATTAGGCTAGCAGCTGTTCAATGCATGCCATCTCTTGCCTCTGTGTATTTGTGCAGGCAGAATCCACCATGCCTGGAATGCACTCCCTTCTCCATTAGGAGAGTCAGTGGGGCATAGCACTAGTTTTGGTGTCAGAAAGACCTTGGTTCAAATCCTGTCTCACATACTGAGCAGTTAACTCTCTTAACCTCAGTTTCCTTATCTGTAAAATGGAGAAAATCATGGCACCTACATCATAAGGTTGTTGTGAAGACCAAATAAGACAATGTTTGTAAAACACTTAATAAGTACTTAAAGTATTATATAAATATGAGCTTCTATTATAATTATTATTATTATTTCCACCTTTTAGAATCCTTGTCTCAGCCTTAGCTAAGGGGCTACCTTCTTTATTTAATATGCCCTGATCCCTTCAGCTTGAAGCATATTGATCTTGCTATAATTTTCCCAGACGTTTTGTCTGATCTCTTCTTTGCCACCATCACACCCTACCTTATACAATATTTCTCTGTGTACAGTAGAATGTAAGTAATGAGGACAGGGATTGTTCATTTTTGTTTTTGCGTCCCCTAGTGACTAGCACTGGGCTTTCCATATAGCATAAATGTCCAATTGAATTGAAGGTCATGTCAGCAGCTAACTCAGACCCAGCTCATTCCTAAGAACTGAACTGAAACTTCCTTTTGCCAGGAACCATCTGACACCTGGGAAAACAAACATCTCTGATTACTGAGTGGTTTTTTTTTTGGTTGTTGTTGTTGAGGTGTTCAGGGACTGGTTCAAAGACCTATCTTAACCTCCCAACTTAGGCTCCCTTCAAACTTTATTCAGACAAACTCTTTATTAGCTACATAGTTTTCATCATCTACAACATTTCTAATTATAGGTAGCCTTCTTCTACAGAATAGTTCTGGGACATTATTAATTAGTATATTCTTAAGGATCACAAATTAATTTTAATATTTGTCTAAGCAAAGAATAATTATGAAGGGAAAACTGTGACCCCCAAACCCATCATATATTCCATAGTCAAATAAACTAGAAATAATTTTTGAGTAGTTTGTTCATGCCATTGCTACCTTTTATTAGCACAGATAATTGAGGGTTAATTACTTCATTATCTCTTTTCTCCCCTGTATGTACAGAAAGGAACGGCTGAGCATGGAGAGGAGATGAACCAATCCATATCCTCTTTTTCTCTATCATTTTCTACCCCTCTTTACAAGACTGTACTTTATTTAGCCAGAGGATAGACTCCATCCTAACCTCAGGGTTTTTTTTAATATAAAGTATATAGTAGATGTAGAATTGCTAAATTAAAAAAAGGTAAATCTGATTTTCTGAGGTGATGGGAAAGTCCAGTCTTATTGAAACTGTTCAATAGCAGAGTAACAACAACTTCCATTTCTGTATTGTTTAAAAGTTTACAAAATTTTGCTCATAACAATTCCTTGAGGTGAATAGGGCAAGTGTTATTATCCATATTTTACAGATGAGGAAACAGGTTGAGAGAAATGGAAGTGACATATTTAAGAAACCATGGCTAGTAAGGTGGGTGTCTGAAGCAGGATATGAGTCCTAGTCTCCCAACTGCATGTTTTGTTTTCATTCTTTTATAGTTAATATATGGGAGTTTTTCCTTTTTGGGGGAAGGGGGAAGGGGGGAGAGGAAGGCAATCAGAGTTAAGTGACTTGCCCAGGGTCACATAGCTAGTGTCAAGTGTCTGAGGCTGGATTTGAACTCAGGTCCTCCTGACTCCAGGGCCGGTGCTCTATCTACTGTGCCACCTAGCTGCCCTGAGTTTTTTCCTCTTTGTCCTTATCTGGGAGAGGCAGTGTGGTACAGTGGCAAGGGAATTGGATTTGTAGTCCAAGGATTTGTGTTCAAATTCTGGCTCTGCCACTTATTGCTTCTATAGCCTTGGGCAGGCCACTTCCCCTCTCTGAGCCTCAGTTTCCTCATCACTAAAATGACAGGTTTGGGCTAAATGAACTGTAGGTGTTGTGAAACACACATTTCAAACCATATATGTCTTCAAGGTAGTGTGGCCCAGCTGAGTGATGACACTGTGCTGAAATAGGATGTAGGTTCAAAGTGAGGATGCTTCATAAACTTTATAAAAATCTGTCCCCCTCACTAAATATGGGTGGAGAAAATCCATTTACCTTCACATAGGTCTTCTGATTGGCAGTAGACTTGGTCATCTTTTTCCTTCAGAGCAGTTGCTGTTGTTGATTCAAGTTTGACTAAATTCTCACCCATTTCTGCATCCTAAAAGAGTTTAATATTTCAAGCCATTTTTTCTATTAGAATGTTTCTTTCAGATGAAATTTACATGCATAAGAATCAGTTTTCCTTTAAAAAAAATCACAAGTGATCCAGCTAAAGTCTAGTAGTTGTTAAATCTAGAATGATAGAAATTCATTGCTAGGTCATTTAATCCAGCTCTTTCATTTTACATATGGGAACACTGATGTTCAGAGAAGACAAAAAAAACTGTCTTAAACTGGTTAGTGACAGATTTCCTGACTTGCCTGTGGTCATACAGCTAGTAGGGATCAGATCCTAAGTTCAAACCGAGCTTTCTTGATTTTGTCGTCAGTTAACAAGCATTTATTAAGTGCCTACTATGTGCCAAGCACTGATCTAAGCACTGAGGATACAAAGAAAGGCCAAAATATGGTACCTGCCCCCAGGGAGCTCATATTCTAATGGGGAAGATGACAAAGAAACTACTCTGTACATACAAAATCTATACAACGTAAATGGGAAGTCAGGTACTAGCAGTGGAGCAGGGTTTCTGGCCCTTTCCATGACCCCATCTTCCCTCTGTATTACCAAATACTTTCACTCCTAGTTATAAACACCAGCTTTTTAGAGATTTATCATTAAATCATTTGAAATTCCATCACATTTTAAAGCAGCATGGCATACAGGAAAGGTCTCATTTAGGAGAAGGAATACCAGGGCTCTGTGCTCCATCTGTGTGAGCCTCAATTTCTTATTTATAAAATAGGGGTGATAATCATGTCTTACCTCCCTGAAGGAATATTGTGAGATCAAATGGAGTAATTTCTGTTTTAAAGCCAATCAGTCAATAAACATTTATTAAGAACCTGCTATGTGTCAGGCACTGGGCTAAGCTCTGGAGATGCAAAGAAAGGCAAAAAACAGTCCCTGCTGTCAAGGAACTCACAGTCTAATAAGGGAGACAAGATGCAAATAACTATGTACAAAAGTGTTTTATAAATTGTAGAGTGCTATACCTGGTGTTGCTATTTTTCTAGAAGCAAATCACTGGCCTAATTCTTTTATTTTTCACCGTACTTATGTCTCCCTGGTGGCTAAATATTCAGGGAGTCTTTCAGACCACTTATATATGATTACAGTAGCATAGGTAGGAAAGGATAATAGAACAGAGCAGGACCAACATTTGCAAAGGGGACAAAGCAGGCATATTGTGTAGGTGCCTTCTATGGATCCATTCTGGGTGCTGGCTCTGCAGCAGTTCTTGGCTGCTAGGGCAGGTTATCCTGCCACCCATCAGGAATCATGGGTTACCAAGAAAATGTTGATGAGGACTTGGTAGGCAGGGGAAGGGACTATGGCAGTTGAATTGAGATCTGAAGTTGATGTGACAGGTGTCTCTGCCATTAGAATTAGGTGATCTCTAAGGTCCTAGTGCTAACATTCTCTGTGTATATATACAAGCCTATTTTGCTTTTGGATTTGTCATCTACTAGCTAACATCTCAATTACTTCCTTCCCTTCTTAGCTAAAATTCTCGAAAAAATGTCTACAAATTTTTTTGTTATATGGGATGTATGTCTAGGAAGAGGAAGGGGATGAAATAGAAGAAGATAGGTAAGATATCGAAGGGAAATATAGGGGATGTAAAAACAAATTATCAATAAAATAGATTTCAAAAATTATGTTGGCTAAACTTCTGGATTTTTGGAGAGGTTTGGGGGAGAGCTCAAGCAAGTCACTGCTTTTACTCCACCATCTTGGCTCCACCCCCTAAACTTGTGGATTAAAAAAAAAATTTTAAAGAAAAAAAAGTCTGAACTCAATACCTCCATTTCCTTTCTTCGTATTCTTTTCTTAGTCCTCTGCAATGTCTTCTATCTGCATTACTAAGATGAAACTACTATCTCCAAAGTTACCACTGATCTCTTAATTGCTCGATCTAATGGCCTTTACTCAACCCTCTTCTTTCTTGACTTCTCCAGAGCATCTGACACTATTGGTCATCTTCTCCTGGATACTCTGTCTTCTCTGGGATTTTCCTAACTGCTCTCTCTTGGTTTTCCTTCTACCTGTCTGACCACTTCTCAGCCTATTTTGCTGAATCATTATCCATATCACTCTCTAAATTGTGAGTGTACCCCAAATGCTCTGTCCAGGGCCCTCTTTTCTTTTCTTTCTATACTCTCTCACTTGGTGATCTCATCAGATCCTATCATTTCTTTGCAGATGATTCCCAGATAAGTAGGTCCAGACCTAGTCTTTCTCTCAAGTCCCAATAACATATCACCAACTGCCAATCAGACATTTCAAACTGATCAAAGAGAACTCATTATCTTTCCCCTAAAACCCACCCTTCTTTCAAACTTCCCTATTGTCAAAGGCACCTCTGTTCTACTAGTCATGTAGATTCACAAGCTTAGTACCATTTTCAACTTCTCACTCTCCCCACTTCCCCATATATTTAATCTTATTATTTCTATCTTCACAACATCCCTTTCACATATCCCCTTCTCTGCACTCACACAGCCACCACTCTAGTTCAAGCCCTTAATTACTTCTTACCTGAACTATTTCAGTAGACTCCTAATTACATGTATTGTCCTTGCTTCAAATCTCTCCCCATTTCAAACTACTCTCCACCCATATGCCAAAATGTTTTTTCCTAAAACACAGATCTGATTACATCAGCGCCTCCCCCCCCCCCAAATAAACTCAAGTACTCTCTGTTATCTCTAGGGTCAAATATAAACTCTCTCTCTCTTTTATTTTTATTTTTTGCCCTTTCTACCTTCTCAATCTTCTTATGTATTACTGTCCTCCATGAACTTTACAATTTAGCCACACTGGCTGACTTTCTATTCATTGTACACAATACCCGTTCTCCCATCCCCATGCCTTTATACTGGTTGTCCCCCATGCTGGAATATTCTCTTTCCTCATTTCTTCCTCTTATAATCTCTGGCTTCCTTCAAGACTCAGCTCCAGTGTCACCTTTATTAAGTTCGTACTAGGTACCAGACACTCTGCTAGGAGATACAAATACAAAAGTGAGACAGTCCCTGCCCTCAGGGAGCCTACATTTCACAAGGGAACATTCAGCAAGGCAGGCCTTTTCCTCCAGAGTCACTTGTATCTCCTTTGTATATATGTTGCATATACTGATACATGTACATGTTGTCTCCCCCATTAGAATGTAAATTCCCTTGAAAATAGGGAATGTTTTCATTGTTTCTTTGTATCCTCAATTCTTAGCACAGAGGCTGCCACATAATAATGTCTTAATAAATGCTTGTTGATTGATCTACTTTGTTTGTGTCCCTCATTCTTGGTGTACTTTTAAGCTACTTTTTTTTCAGGTTATAGATGTGTGGTCATGCAAAACATTTCCATAGTAGTCATGTTGTGAAAAACTAAGTATATTTCCCTTAATCCTATCCCACCCCCCATTTATTCTATTCTCTCTTTTGACCCTGTCCCTTCTTAGAAGAGTTTGCTTCTGATTAACCCCTCTCACAATCTGCTTTCCCCTCTATCATCCCTCTGCTCCCTTGTCCCCTTCTCCCCCTATTTTCCTATGGGGAAGATAGATTTCCATACCCAAGTGAGTGTGTGTGTTATTCCCTCCTTAAGCCAAATCCGATGAGAGTAAGATTCACTCATTCCCTCTCACCTTCCCCTGTTTCCCCTCCACTGTAAAACCCTTTTCTTGTCTGTTTTATGTGAGATAATTTACCCCATTCTACCCCTCCCTTTCTCCTTCTCCCAGTATAATCCTCTTTCACCCCTTAATTTTATTCTCCAGATATCAGCCCTTCATCTTCAACTCACCCTGTGCCCTCTATTTATCTATCTATCTATCTACCTATATATACATACATATAATTTTTTCCCTCCAACTGCCCTAATACTGACAAAGGTCTCATGAGTTACAAATATCATCTTTCCCTGCAGGAATGTAAACAGTTCAACCTTAATAAGTCCCTTATGATTTCTCTTTCCTGTTTACCTCTTCATGTTCCACTTGATTCTTGTATTTGAAAGTCAAATTTTCTGTTCAGCTCTGGTCTTTTCATCAAGAATGCTTAAAAGTTTTCTGTTTCACTGAATGTGCATTTTTCCCCCTGAAGGATTATACTCAGTTTTGCTGGTTAGGTGATTCTTGGTTGTAATCCTGTCTCCTTTGACCTCTGGAATATTATATTCCATGCCCTACGGCCCCTTAATGTAGAAACTGTAAGCTAATTTCTAAAGCCTAGGTCTGACCATGTTATTTCCATGCTCAAGAAGCTTCAGTGGCTCCTCATTGCTTTTAGGTTAAAATACAAATACAAATTCCTGTGTTAGGCATTTAAAACCTTTCAACAATCTGGCTCCAACCTCTCTTTCCAGGCTGATTACACATGTTTTCTCTTCATGAACTATATATATTCCATCCAAACTGGCCTACATGCTGTTTCCTGTACATGACATCCTGTCTCCTGCCTCCCTGCCTTTGCGGGCTGTCCCTATGCCGTGAATGCTCTTCCTCATCACTTCTGCCTCCTGGAATCCCTACCTTCTTTGGGAAGTCTTTCCTGATCTCTCCCAGCTGTTAGGGTCACCCTCCAAATCACTATGTATACACACACACACACACACACACACACACACACACTCTCTCTCTCTCTCACACACGCATACATTTTTGTATGTATTTGTATCTGTGAACATGTTGAATTTCCCTTGTGGAATGTAAACTCCTTGAGGACAGGGACTGCCTCATTTTTGTATTTGTATTCCCTAGCAGAATATCTGGTACCTAAGAGGAACTTAATAAATGCTTGTTGATTAATTATCTGGTACAAGCTATTTAGTACTGTACGCAAGAATCACTGTTGATTCTAGGCTTTCTAACTGATAGAAGTTCCTGTGTCATATCTATTGAAGAGTCTGAGAAAATCCCAACTATAAGACCTATGATAATCCACCCTTCTTTACCCTATCCCCTCAACTCATTATCACCTTGAAAAACTCCTTACCCTCCCCTAAAATCGTTCAGATTCTGGTAGAAACAAGAAATAAGTTCCCCCAAGATCTATAAATTAGATAATTATATGTGAGCCCTTTATTTATTGCTCAATTCATTTCAATAAAAATTTGTTACTAGGTGTCCCCTGTGTGCTTCAAAGTAAACTCGATGTATTATAGTCATAGACCTCCAGCTGCATTTCCCAAACTTGACTTTCAAGGTGTAGTTCTACATAGTCATATTGGAACCACAGCTTAAAACCAGTCAGGCAACTTAAGGGACAAAATGGGACTTTTCTATATAAGCAGCAATAAAAATAACTTGGGCTCGTTCTGATGGTAAGAGGTGGTAAGTAGCTTTGTCAAGCCCTAATAAACACGAAAAAAGTCTCATGCATTTTTCTTAGGATAGCAGTGGAAGGCTAAAGGTTCCAGATCTTTATGTTGAATTCTGTGAAAAAGTGGATGTAATTTCCTTGATATTCTAAACAGGACTACTTGAAAAGTGTCTGTGTTTTTACATTGGAAAAAAGCCATCAAATATACCAAGTTCATTTTCCTGCATTTGAGCTCAAGTGATCCCCTTCTTATAATTTTGCCTTGAGGGGGATGGGAAAATCCTCCAGCAGCTGCCAAGATCTTGGCCTAGTTATAACCCCACTTCACAATGAGCCCTTCAGTAGGAGTGTAGACAAGCCAGTTTTGTGGAGCATCTGTACATGTCTGCCCTGCCCTGCCTCTCCTCTGCTCTGCCTCAGCCTGGCTCTACCTTGCCCTGGACACCTCTACACATCCCCATGTAAACATGTTCAAGGGTGCCAAGGGTATCTGTCCTTATATACCTTTATTCTAACCTCAGTTGGTCTGCATATTCAGGGGAATCTAGGACAGTGATTAAGTGTTTGTATGTGTGTATGTTGCCCAATTTTTCTGAGAAATGTTTCACTATGAAAATGTTTCCTTGGCAAAAGCATAGCTAATTACTATTTCCAGAAATCCATCCCCCATAGGGGCAAGTTCCTCTTCCTTTTCCTGATCTTCATCTCAGTTTTCTGATCTATAATGAGAGGGTTGGACTTGATGGCTTGTGAAATTCTTTCATTCTTAAATCCTATGACCCTCTAAAATATTTTTGAAAGAGGATGATAGATATGTCTATCATCATTCAACCAAGATGTCTTTAGGTAGAATTGAGTCACGCAAATCTTGTTTGGCAAAGTAAGGCCAAGTGCATGATTTATGCATTCTATTTTAAGTTGCAGATTGAGCTATTCTTTGACAGAAAAAAAAAGTTGAGAAGATACTTTTATCAGAAGACAAACATTCCAAAATGACCAAATACTCTCTTTTGAGTATTTTTTCCTCTTTGAACTAGAAATAACATTTTCTGTTGCATTAATCATCATGGACAAAGAATTTATACTGTTCTCAAGCCTCTCGGTGCTTAGCTAAATTGGTCCTTGGTCAGAAGTCTAGCACTAGCTCCATATTTGAAACCTTTCTAACTTAGTAGGACCTGTCATGTCTTTTCCTCAGTTGGCATAGCCTTCAAAATCCCACACTCACTTTCATACTACAAAGAGGACTTTTGGGGAAGTAGGAATTTACTTACTTTTAAAAATCCATTTCACTATTTTTTTTTAATCACACTACCTTGTTCACCTGAAGAGGAATGACAAATCTCTCGAGGGATGGTATGGAAGTAAGTTTAGAGTTCTGCTCAAAGTGTTGATTCAAGTTTGCCAAGTAGAAGAGCTGATAAAGACTATGGTCCTTGTAGGAAATGACATCAAACACAATATGGCCATCTTCTTCATAGGCATTTACATGATGGTAGACAACCATGGGATCAGCATAAAACTTGGTCAGCAGGGTCCTTTTTGTCCTTCGGTCAATGATATGAATGTAAGTCTTAAAGAAGATGGACATAAAACATTGGTCAGCAAAAGATATGGGTTTTCCCATGATCCCATGAATGTAGGTGACAAGTGATGTTTGTTAAATTTCCATGCTGCACCACCCCCAAACCTCCCTTTGAAGATGATCTTAGGGTAGTGTTTGCTTTCATGCTGGACATGATGACTCCTTACCTATAAAAAGACACTGAGCAGAGTTTCCATTTTATCCACTCTCTCCTTGTCCCCACCCTCAGGTCTCTGGAGTCACTCCACACATTTCTTATCCCTCTCATCTCTACATCTCAATCCCTCACTTGACGTTTCCTACTTATCAAGTAATGTATCATGGGGAAGGAATTCCAACACTTTGAAAAGTCTGCTTTTAGAATTTCCTCATAGATCATTTAGACATGTTTGCACACTGCTATTGTCTCTCATATATTTGTTTATTCTTCATGTTTTTACTTTTTACTAGCCTCCTTGTGTAATTATCCTGGATTAACCAAAAAGCTTGAGGTAGGAGAAGTGGTAGTTTTGTTTTCTCACAGGCTAGTTTTAGACTGTACTCCCATCCTCTCTCCTCTTCCCTTTCCCTGTTTCCTCCCCACTTTTCTTGTTTTTCTCTTCCCTTTTCTTTCTCCTTCCTCAGAACCAAGCAATGCACAGAGGAGTGTGTATATATGTGGTTGGGGGAAAGGTAAGGCTGGGGAGAGTGTGGTCAGATTTGTCAGTAGCTATGATGAGAAACAGTTTCAGTTCCTTTTATGTTCCATGTCTTGATCTCATGATCTGGGTTTACCCATGTAACTTGAGAAACATTTCTCTTCTGTTATACAAATTCGGCCTTTAGGCCCCCTCTGATGCTCTCTGCTTGACATGGGCCCTTAAGCTGAGTAGCTTCTGCCCATTTCTATGGAAATTCTATTCAACAAACATTTATTAAGTAGTTGTGTGCCATAAATGTTTATTGAAATCAATTGAATTGCAGGGTGCTGTAATCAGATGAAAATGGCATGATCTCTGCCCTCAGGGAACTTATGTTCAGCTGTATGCAGGAAAACAGAAATCAAGGAAGTCATAGGGCCCACATTCTAACTTCCCATTCCCTGCTGAGAATAGGTGGATGGGGAAGTGCCTGAGTCCTTCAGGGACTGTACTTGGTAAACATCTGCTGTGGACACATCCGTATTTTATTTGGCCTCCTTCTCTTCTCAGCTTTAGCCACATCCCACCTTCTACTTGGTCTGCCAAACCAGAGGCCTGAGTGGAAGGGGCCAGTGGGTAGACTAGAATATGTTGGGAAAGCTGAAGCGGCAAAGAGGATGGAAAGAAGGAAGCAAGCAAGCACATTTATTAAGTGCCTACTCTGTGCCAGGTACTTCACAAACATGATCTCATTTGGTCCTTACGACAACCCTGAGAGGTAGGTGCTATTATTATCATCATTTCACAGATGAGGAAACTGAGGCAGACAGGTTAAGTGACTTGCCCAGGATCACCCAGCTAGGAAGTGTCTGAGGCTGGATTTGAACTCAGGTCTTCCTTATTCTAGGCCCTGTGCTCTATCCACTGCACCACCTCACTGGTCTGGCTCTCTTTGAAATATCTGCTGGGATTGTTGATGCCCTACCATCAGGTGCCTGTGATCATAGAATATGATATACCTTGTCTTCTTCATGGAAGGTAATGCAGGAAGCCCAGTTTGTGCCTCGAATGTAGGCAGTGGCCATCTTTAGAATATCCAATTTAAAGGGTTGCTCTAGAAAAATGATGTAGTTTTCAGTAACTCCAAAACTATGATAGTAACTTGGGCTGAGAAGAGAGCGGGATGGGATGGAGCAGATGACTTCCAGGTGTTTTAAGTTGTTTTTCTTCTTTTTTTTCTCTAAAGAAAAATTCCCAAAATGTCAGTCCACATTCATAGCACACTACATAATTAGAACACACACATAGAGTCGCATGGGGTGTTAGTCTCCCACTGTCTCCATCATAAAGGAAATTAGGCTACAAGTAGAACCATAGAATTTCAGTGTGCTCTGGAAGAAGTCCCTTCCCCCTATGACAGCAAGTTCTTTCCTTTGTAAAGTGAGGGTGTTAAATTACAAATTGCTGAGGTCCCTTCCCGGTCTAGAGCCCATGATTCTAAGTGTGTTCAGTATTTTTTCAGCTTTAGTCGGGTAAGATCACAATTCATCCCATTCCCAGGGAGGACCAGGAGACATCCCTGCAAGGAAGCCTCAGACTTGGCACAGAAAATGCCTGTGCCTGTCAATGAGATTAGCAGATGTGTGCAAGGGGCCTGACAGAAGAGGGGTGAGAGGGTCGTTATTAAGATGGTTTCTGTGGTGAGGCCATGAAGGAGCTTCTGAGTTTCCTTATGCACTCTCAGGGAGCAGTGCTACCATATAACCAGGAGTCAGGTTTCAAGCAGTGGCTAAGGCATGTTTAATCATACCCAGGCATAAGTGAAGAGTAGGGGTGGGATTGGGGACAATTTAGTGAAAGAAGATTTTTCTTCCTTTAGCACCCAGATGTTGGTTCCAGAACTGTCCTTGCTATCATGATCCTGTCATAGGATCATAAGATTCAGAGCTGGAGAGAACCTTAGAGACCACCTAATTGAGGATAATAAGACCTGATATGTCAGAGAATCTCAGAATCAGAAGGTTAAAGGGGACCTCTGAGGTCACTAGGTCCAAACCAAAATGAGGGAAAGAGCTCCCTATTATTAGAGGAGGAAAATGACAAAACAAAAAAAAAATGACTGAGTGTTACATGCCAATAAAATCCTCAGAAAAGAATCCTAGAGCAGATTTTTCACTCCTGATCATTGATGATGAAAAAGAAGATGCTCATCAGGAATCCATACCTGGTATTGTGGGAGGTATTTTAAATACCAAATATTTAGTTTTTCCCTTGTCAACTATGGATGTGCCCATGTTGAGGACATTCCCTTGGGCATCATAGTGAGGATGAGAAGTTGCCACATTTATGGCTGCATAATTACGGTAATCAACCTGCAAAATACCACATAACATAACGAAACAACATAATGAATATTCATATACAACCTGGGTCAAATGACTTCCTGGGGAATACAAATAAACTCGTGTAGCAAAACCCTGATAAATCAGAAGAGACTTGGAAATGGGCATTAGTCCTGCTGCCCATCATGAGTTTTATAAAGGGTGAAAGTACTGAGAAACAGGTCACTTCCTGTTATCTGACTATTCTCGATGATCTGACTCAATCAAAAAAAGAGGCAGGCACCTCACTGGTCTCAGCAACTGCCTGGGGATCTGAGGACTATTGTGTTAATCCTGACTCAGCTGGACTTTGTGATTCTGGTTAATTCCTGCCAATTGAGTTTCCTGGAGGCATAAATCTTCAGGTTTTTCTTATAGGCTGACAGAGAAGGGAATAAAGTTGTAAAGACTTGTAGATATATGTTCAGTAAAATTGTTGAATCAGAAACACTGATGCTTCCCCACAGGAAGGCCCTGGATTGATGACCATGAGGCAGAAGAGATTGAACTAGACTGTCTCAACTCCCTGCCAATTATAATAGTTGCTTACCAAGGCCACAAGACCCTCCCAAAGGGAAGACCCCTCTCTAAATTAGGATCAAGGACTTAGAGTTGAAAAAGAACCTTAAAGTCCATCTAGTCTAGGCCCCTTATTTTACTGATGGGAAAACAGGCTTAAAGAGATTAAGTAACTTGTTCCATAGTCTAGAAATTGCCAGAAAATGTGACATTTTTAGATTTGAACCCAGGTCTTCCTGACTGCAAGTCTACAGAAGGGGAACATAGCATTACAACCGTAAAAACCACTCCCGTTAGAGAACTTTCCAGGTGCATTGTAGAAGCATCATAACTTGGAGCTAGTCCTGGAGAAAATGATGAAGCATTTATCTATGGGTCAGAGAAACTGTGTGACTGCGTTATACTGGCTAGAAAGTTAGTTTGGCTTCCCTACCACACCCGTGCTCATTATTCAGATTCATAGACTTTCAGAGCTGGAAGAGATCTTGGAGATCATCTTGTTCAGCTTCCTCTTTTGATAAAGGAGGAACTGATGTTCAAAGAGAACAGTGATTTGACCAAGGTCCTTGGGAGTTAGTGGCAGATCCAGAATTCAATCTCAGGTCTCCTGTAGCCCATTCCAACAGACTAGAACAATGCTTTCAGGCCATATGCATCTGGAGACCAGGCTGCAGGGCCATGGAGTCACATCTCTATACTCTAAAGTTATGGTCAATCTCTTCAGGCCCAAGGAAGCTCAATCAATGAATTCTTATTGAGTGAGGGCTAGGACAGCAAAGACAAGCATTGCTGCTGATTTGAAATTCACAGCTACCTTCTCCAGGGTCTCCAAAGTTTCTGGATTGATTTTCCTAATGTAATTTGTCTCTGTAGTAGCATAGAAGTCCTCCCCACATTTCATGATGTTGATTAGGCAGTTATCAGTGAAGTCCGGAATAGTGTGGGACAAGTAGGAAAAAGCTCTGGGGAGAGAAAGAAGAAATAATTTCATTCCACAGACTTGCTCTGCTTTAACCATTTAGCACAGAGAAGAGATTTTAGAGTCTACTGTAATTGTTGTGCTCAGGAAGAATAGTCTCCTGGGAGTCCCTAGCTAGCAGTCTAGTCTGATGGGTGGGTGCTAGAAAGCATAGTGCCTCTCACAAAGCTGAGACAAGCTAAAGAGGTATCAAGGAGCACAAGGTACTAAGAAATCACAGAATTCCACTCTCCACTGCTTGTAGAAAGACAGTATGGCATAGTGGAAAGTGTACAGGATTTAGAACCAGAGATTTAGAGCTGGAAGGAACTTTAGCAGCCTTCTAGTCTCATGCTCATCATTTTACAGGTCATGAAGCTGTGGTGTGGAGAGTGGAAATGATTTGGCCAAGATCACATAGTAGCAAAAGGTTGGCAGGATTTAACTCATGCCTTTTGGCTCTAAATCCAGGGCTCTTTTCACTTATAGTATTAGAGGAATTGGATTTGAATCCTAGATCTGGAAGGGGACACCCTTATCCTTCTTGAGCTTTAGTTTCCTCCTCTGCAAAATGAGGGGGTTGAACTAGATGAGTTCTAAGGTCTCTTACTCTGTGACATGAGAACAATGAGTACTATGTGTGTTTCAGCTGTTAATCCTTCTGCTGGTAGAGATTATGACAGAAGAAGTCACCTAACCATGAGAGGTAGTTAGGTATATTTGAAAGAACAAAGACTCTAAAATCAGAGGACTTGGTTTTAAATGATGTCATTGTCACTTATTACTTGTTTGACTTTGGGCATCTCTTCACCTCTGGGCTGGGTTGTACTAGGTTAGCCAAATGTTGCTTCCACATCTAGATCTATGATCCAGTGTCTTTTGATTCAATCCAAAAAAACATTCATTAAGCACTTACAATGTCAAAAATTGTGTTAGACACAAACAAGAACAGCAACAAAGAAAAATCCCCAACGCTAACCTGGTCCTCAAGGAGCTTATATTCTACTGGGGGGTAGAAAGAGAGCAGGAGAGGATACAACATATACATAAGCAAGTAAATACAAAGTAAATTTATGAGAGAAAGGATGCTAATTACGTTAGATCAGGAAATATTTTTGGTAAGAGGTGACCTTCTTTGAAGGAAACTAGGGGTTCCATAAAATGAAGGTAAGTAAGAAATGCAGGCATGGGGCATTTGCGCATGTAAAGGGATGGTGGTAGGAAATGAAACAGCTTGATGGCCATTGACTAGAATGAAGAGGGCATGTAGGGTGATATTAAACAGGACTGGAAAGTTGGTGGGATCCATATTGTGGAGGGCTCTAAATTGCAGTTTGAGCAGTTTGTTTATCCTCAAGATACTAAATACATAGTCACTGGACATTGCTGAGTAAGGGATTGACATAGTCAGATCTTTGTTTTTTAGGAATATAAATGTGGTGTCTGTGTAGACTAAATTAGAGATTGCTATTATTTAGTCATTTCAGTCATGTCCAATTCTTTGTGACCCCATTTGGGATTTTCTTGGCAAAGATACTGAAATGGTTTGCCATTTCCTTCTTCAGCTCATTTTACAGATGAGGAAATTGAGGCAAACAGGGTTAAGTGACTTGCCCAGGATCCCACAGCTAGTAAGGGTCTAAGGCCAGATTTGAACTCAGGAAAATAAATCTTCCTAACTCCAGGTCCAGCAATCTTTCCACTGTGCCACCTAGCTACCCCTAAATTAAAATAGTAAAAACTAACAGGAGAGAGAAGAATTGGGGATTTATTGCAATAGTCCAGGTGCAAAGTGATGACAGCCTACATTAGGGGTGTAAATGGGGAGAAAAGGAGATACTGTGGAAGAAGAATCAACAACAGCTAGCATTTATATAGCACTTTAAGGTTTGCAAAGCACTTCACAAATATTATCTCATTGTATCCTCACAACAATCCTGCAAGGTAGGTGCTATTATTATCTCTATTTTACAGATTCTTCATCTGAATTGCTCCAACTGAAGCAGATAGAGGTTAAATTACTTGCCCAAGGTCACACAGATAGTAAAGAATGTAAGTCAGGATTTGAACTCAGGTTTTTCTTACTCCAAGTGCAGCACTCTATCCATTGTACCACCTACTGCCTCCCAATGTGTGGCAACTGACTGGAGGTGGGGAGTGAAATAGTCAAGGATGACTCCAAGGTTTTGAAGCTGAATGATTGGAAGGATGATGGTGCCATTAATAGAAATAAGGAGAGCTGGAGTAGGGATGAACTGCAGGGAAAATATAAAATGTTCTATTTTGGACATATTGAGTTTGAGATGACTATGGGATATGAAGATAGAGATAAATAACTGTCAGCTGGTAATGTGAGACTGGACTTCAGGAAAGAGATGAGGGCTCGATATATAGGATTAGGAATCATCTCCACAGAGATGATAACCCAGATTAGTTCACCAAAGGAGATAGTACAGAGATTAAAGAGAAGAGAGTTGGGTGATGCCCACACAGTGGAAGGGAGGAAGAGAAGGATCTAGCCAAGATAACTGAGGAGGAACAGGAAGTCACATAGAAGAACCCAAAAAAGAGAAAAATTATAGAGAAGCCCACAGAGGGAAGTGTCCAGGAGGAGTGATCAATAGGATCAAAGGCTACAGAGAGGTCAAGTATAATAAGAAGAGAGTAAAACAACTGTATTTAGAGATTGTTGGTAATCTTGGAGAGAGCAGTTTCAATTGAATGATGGGGTAGAAAGCTAGGTTATAAGAGACTAAGAAGTAATATGTGAGTAAATGGAGGCAATGAATACAGACTACACTTTCTGGTAGTTTGGGGGTGAAAGAGAGATATAGATTCATAGAGTTCAGAAATATCCTTTGTTCCACTCCCTTCATTTTACACATGAGGAAACTAAGGCCTGATGAAAGAGTATTGACTTGCACATGGTTACCCATATAAGAAGTAACCTGGAAACTGAATGTGGATCCTCTGACTCCAAATAAAGTAATCTTTCCATGCTACTCATATTATAGTTGAAGAATTAGAAGTGACTTGTAAATAGTCATACTGATAATAAAGAGCAGAGCTGGGATAGCAGATGGTTACAACATCTACAAAGATGATAGTTTAAAAGAGAATGACAAGTCCAAATGATGGATTTTTTTTTAAGGATGGAAGACATCTGAGTGTGTTTATAGGCAAATCAAGGTAGTCCATGGGGAGGAGAGATGGAGGACAAGAGAGAGGGAATGATTAAGACTCCTGGAGGAGACTGATAGGAGTTAAGAGTAAAAGAGTGGTTAGTCTTGGCAAGAAGAAAGGCCACCTATTCATCAGAGAGAGGAGGAAGGGAGAGAATAGGGGACGATGAAGAAAGATTTTGAAATGTGAAGTAGGAGAGAAGAGGGAACTCCTTGTAGATGAATTCTCTTTTCTCTGCCTCTGCACTTAGGTTGTCCTATGCAATAGTCCTAGTGTTATTTAGTTATGCTCTATATTTGAGAGGCATGTGATGAGAAGTCTGGAAAAGATGTTGTAACCATCTCCCTCTCGGCAGAGCTGTACCAACTGTTGCTATCCCAGTTCTGCTCTTTATTATCAGTATTATTATTTACAAGTCACTTCTAATTCTTCATCTATAATATGAGTAGCATGGAAAGATTACCTTATTTGGAGTCAGAGGATCCACATTCAGTTTCCAGGTTACTTCCTATATGGGTAACCATGTGCAAGTCAGTACCCTTTCATCAGGCCTTAGTTTCCTCATGTGTAAAATGAAGGGAGTGGAACAAAGGATATTTCTGAACTCTATGAATCTATGCTCCCTGGCTGCTCAAGTTTCCTTCACTGATGAATATAATTGAGACATCTATCATATTAACCTCAACTTAAATGTTTGTGGAATTGAATTGACTATTTGCCAGTAGCCCTATTGGCAATCCCTAGTTTGATAGATAAGAATTTATCCCATACCTAAGGGACCCTGGGGCTGCAAATCTACAACGCTCATGTGGTAGTGTGGCTTTAACAGATGATGCAGACAGAGGAAGGACAGAAGAGTTACAAAGCAAGCTAGGAAAGAATAAGCAGAGGAGCGAAAAAGCGTGGTTTTAACAGTGAGAGCTTCTGCAGGTAGATCCCAATTTAAAAGAGGTAGTTACTTGGAAAATATATTTTTGCAGGGATCTGGATAAGCCATAGTTCCAAACTCTGACACCACAATCCTGTTGGCTTCAATATTGGAATTGTAGGTGTCACTTCGGAGGTATTTACTTCGGTAATGAACTTCACCTGGAACAGAAGCAACAGAATCTTCTCAGACCCAGACTGTTTTCAGTGCTTCAATATTTGTTTTAGTTATTTCCTTTCCTTCATGCCTTAGCCCAGTGTACCAAGAAATGTTCATCTTTGTGTCCTCAGAGCCTAGAATAATAATAATAGCTAACATTTATGTGGCGCCTACTGTATGTCAGGCACTAGGCTAAGTGCTTCGAAAATATTATCTCATTTGATCCTTACAACAACCTTGGGGGTTAGGTGCTATTGTTATCCCCATTTTACAGATGAGGAGACTGAGGTGGATAGAGGTTAAATGACTCACCCAAGGTCACAAAAATAGTAAGTGCCTGAGGCCAGATTTGAAAACATGTCTTCCAAACTCTAGGCCTGGCTCTTTATCCACTGTGCCAACCCAGCTACCTCTAAGAAAGGTTCTTTGCATGTAATAGGCATAAAAATAAATGTTGAATTGGACTAAATTCAATGCTATTCTTACAGTTTTATATCCAACTAGTCCCCTCCACACACTGCATGCTCCAGTCAAACTGGTCTATTCTTTCCTTGTCCCCGGAACACATCTCCTGCCTGTGCTCCCAGGCAGCTTCTTAAGCCTGGAATTCCCTCCCCAACTTGTCAAATTCTTACCAGCCCAACTCAAATGCCTGTACCTCCTGCATAAAGTCTTCTCTGATTGTCTCAGCTGTAATAGACCTAGGTGAGAATCTCCCTTATTGTTTGAAAGATGGGATCCCCATAGAGTGTAAGATAATTAAGGAAGATCAGATCAATCAAGGCCAATAGCTGCCAGCTCCTTCCTTGTGGTTGGTTCTTGGACATTTCCAGTGAAAGAGGGGTCTATGCTGTGCAGTCTCTGACCCAGACCCAGACTCAGCTTCAAATCCATTACCAGTCCCCATCCTAGCCCTGACCCTGGCTTCTCCTTCATCCCCAGCCCTAGGCCTTAGCCTAACCTCAGACCCCAAGGATATTTTTTTTCACTCTAGGAGAATAAAAATCAGATCTTTTGGGAAAGGTTCAATGAAAATACTATTGTAAAACAATTTTGGTGTATTTTTCCTAACTCCTTTTAGGGAAAAATAACTGTACTAAAACTAGGTTTAACAACAGGTTAGAATCTGACCAGCTTGGTGATATTTTAATTTAGAAACTGTTTGCTTCTTATTGATTATTGCATTAAGGTTTATTTTGCAGTTGATTTGATATTGGTATTGATATTGATATTCCTAAGTAAGACTCATTTATTCAACAAGCATTTACTAGGTGCCTACAATGTGTTAGGCACCGTACTAGGCATAGGAGATAGTCTCTTTGCTCAAGGAACTTATAGTCTATAGTGGGGTTGAGGTGGACGGAGGCCAATAAGAACACAGAGAAATAAAAACAAAATATTTCATGTACTGGACCTGTGATTTCATTGGTATGGGAACTCCCAGGAAGCAAACTCCTGCAAATGCAGATTAGTATATACCCTTCAACATATAGTAGCAGAGTTGCATGGGGTACCAAGAGGTTACCGTGACTTGCACAGGATCATATAGCCAGCATGTGTTAAATGCCAAATTTGAATTCAGGTTTTTCTAACTTGATTCAAGAGGCAGCTCTCTAAACACAAGCTGTTTTATCTCTTAATACAAGCGTATATACAGTACACGCAAAGTAGTTTCAGAGAGATGGACATTAGCAACTGGGGGGTCAGGATAGGATTGTACTTGAATTTAGCCTTGAAGGAATGATTGCTAATGTTTTGATTCGTGTAACCAGGGGTTTGCTGGTAAATTTTTAACAACAGGCTCTCGGGAAAAAATGGGCACAGAATACACTAAAGTTCAATTTGTATTATTAGTGTTTTCACCATCACTTTCTGAAGTCGAGACAATTAACAAAACAACAAATGAAGCCCTGACTTGTAGCATTTGCTGATTTTTCAGGTGGAAATGCTTACACTGAAAATTTGACAATCAGCTCTCCAGAACCAGTAAGAGCTGTCCCCAGCACACCCCTGTGTATAACCCTAAGTAAAACCCTTTAGATCTGGGTTGCACCTTCTCAGTGCTTTATTTTGGCTTCTGTCCAATTCAATTTAGCAAACATTTCTTGCACTTACAAAGTACAGAAACATATGCTGGGGCTCTTAGCAAGAGCTACAAGTACAAATAAAGCCAGATTTATGCCCTCAGGGAGCTCACTCCTGAAACACGCTCCCTCGTCATCTCTTACTTTCACAATCTTTTAAGTTTCAATCTGTTGCCACCTCCTCCTGTGTAAATTTCCTTGATTCTGTCATCCAGAAGTTCTCTACTACCTCAGATTTTCCTGGAACATTTTGTCAATGTCTCTCCTTTTCTCTGTCACTACCTAGCTTGGATTATGCTTCTCAGAATACCTGCTGTATCTCACTAGCAGAATGAACTCTTGGGGGGAGGGTATAACATGGCAGGGGATTGTGATGTTATCTTTGTGTCCTTGGTGCCAAACATAAGTCTTTTCACATAAAAGCTTTTAATAAATGTTTGTTCAATTGAACTGAAGATAGGGATATAAATAGTTAAGACTAGGATAGAGCTCTCTGTTTACTATTACACATTTCACTAGGTCACTGTGAACTGCCACTCCTTCTGTAGTTTCTGTAGCTCCACCTGAAATCTCTCCTCTTCCAGGAAGTTCTTCCAGTCATATATAAAATGGATGATAATGTTTGCCAATCCACTCTGACCACAAAATTCCTTTGGCACCTTCTCCTATCCCACAAATGCATGGATTTGCATCTGATATGAATAAATAAATGTATTTATGCTTTTGTATATCAGCTGTTTGGTTGCTAAAAGGGGAAGAAAATGAACTGATGTATAAAGAAAAAGGATTAAGTCAACATGTGAAAGATATAAAGTACTACCCCTTTTGTATGTGAATTGTCTGGTTGCAGAAAGGGACAGAAAAAGAATTTTTGTACATGGAAAAATGGCTAAAATCTATGTTTGAAGAAATAGCTTTTCTGCTAAAATGTGAGTACAGACACAGGAGGACTGGACTGAGACCTGAAGAGGACTTATGTGAGAACAGAGAAATGACCTGGCCTGTGGGGTATGGTGGTCCCTCAGCTCATTTGTGTGTAATATTTTTAGAGCTTGAGAGGTTAAAATTCACAAAGCACTAAATCAAATAGCTGTTTTGAGATGATGGCATGACTTGGTTTTATAACTGATGGAAAATTGGATTTTGTGAGTTTTACATCATAATAGAAATGAATACCTGAGAACCAAGAATTTCTGATTTGAGACATTAAGAGTAGTGAAGAACCAAGCTGAAAAAGCTGGGTGAGAGGAATAGCCCAGGGTTCTTAAACTGGGGTTATGAGTCTGTAAGGGGTCTGTGTATAGATTCTGGGGCATCTGTGAACTTAGATGGGAAAAATATATGTATATCCTTGTTTCAATGTAATTGGTTTTCTTTGTAATCTTGTATATTTTATTTTATGCATTTAAAAACATTATTCTGAAAAGAGGTCCATGGTCACCACACTGCCAAGGGGTTCATGAGACAAAGAAGGTTGTAGCAAAAATACCCATCTGATAGTATGGCTATAGCTGCTACACTGGTAGTTGCTAACTGACTAGAAAAAAGGGCTGAAGTTCATTGGATGAGAGCTGAATTTCCACTAATGACCTTTATTTCCCAGGTACACTGTCTGAATTCCACTTCCTCGTCACCTGAGAATGGTACTCCACTCCTAGAGCTACCCTGGTGTTGATAGGCCAGCTTTGGCCTTATGTTCTTTGGTTTCAACACTTCACTAGCACTTCCCAGACATCTCTAGCCATGCTGCTTTGCTTAGCTATTTACCTTTTCCCCTTTATGTGTTGTCTTCCCTCATCAGAATGTAAACTCTTTGAGAGCAGGGACTGTCTTACTTCTATTTGTGTCCTGAGCACTTAGCACAGTGCCTGGCTCTTAATAACTTTATCTATCTATCTATCTATCTATCTATCTATCTATCTATCTATCTATCTATCTATCTATC